CTCAAGTGTAGCTCAGTGGTGGAACGCATACTTAGCATGCATGTGATCCTGGGTTTGATTTATAGCACTGCATGTGCATGTGCATGCATACACACACAAAATCATATGTATTTCGTCTTTGCAGCGTGTGTGTAAAATAAGTGCTATTAGGCAGCTATGCACTTTAAAGTCTTACTGTTGTAAAACGAAAGTCTGTGCTGTGGCCATTCATTCAACATGAACAAAATAGTGATTTTTTTCTAAAATAGGACTTTACTTCTGTTTTAATATACATGTGGCAGAGACTCCACAATTTTGGTCTACCCAGTTTTTGGTGGCTCCCAAGAGAGAAAAAGAGTGGTCACTGGGAAAGAATTGATGAAGTTATTACCTTGATTGTTTCCATTGGACAAGTTTACCTTCTGCTTCAGAGGTTAAACCCTGAGTGGTATAGATCTCCAAGCACAGAGAATAATTGGTTTGAGATTGGAAGAAAATAAGAGTTATAGAAAACTCGATGTCTTTTGAAGACAGTGCTCAGACTTAATTTGTCATCATATTAATGGAGAGCTAAGGGCTGAGAAGGTGAATCCACCCTTTATTTTCCTGTTGTCAAGGCTTTGTAAGTTAAAAATGTGAAATACCTGCTGAATCTACTAGTGGGATCAACCAATCACATTTTTTTAGTAATTCCCAGCTCTTTTTATTCTTCTATTTTGTCTCTTATATTGTCTGTTTCTCTTCATAGGCAGAGCCATGTTTGTATTATTTCAAGAAGATTTGTAAATTTCTCCTTCCAAATCACGATTTTCAAAGACTTACCTTTTTTTTTTTTTTTTTTTTTTTTTTTTTTTTAGAGAGAGAGAATTTTTTTTAATATTTATTTTTTAGTTTTCGGCAGACACAACATCATTGTTTGTATGTGGTGCTGAGGATCGAATCCGGGCCGCACGCATGCCAGGCGAGCGCGCTACCACTTGAGCTACATCCCCAGCCCAAAGACTTACCTTTTATTTAATTCAATTTAAAAGCTGAAATGCCTTCCTTCCACAAGGTGTTTTGCAAGGCTATGCCAATTGATAGAGAAGTAAGACATGACCCATTTTTAAAGGTTCATTCAGCCTTGTATGCTGCTTTGTGTGAAGAGACACAGCTCAGTACAAGAGGCACGGGGGACAGAACATGTTATAATAAAAATACACACAGTCAATCTCCTGCGTATGCTTTCATATATTATAAATGCAAGGGTCCCTTAAAATGATTGAATGTAAAGTACCTGACTCTTAAAAGGATGGGGCTATTTAGATCAGATTTTCTCCTGGAAACAGCTGAGACGGTGGACCTACTGTTATTGATGCATCCTTGGATTTGGTAAGGCACAACCAGGTTAAGAATTTAAGGAGCTAGAAGCCTTTTACTCAGTACCTACTAGTCAGTTTTTAGACTTTAGATGCTGAATACAGTGGCTGTTCTGTTATTCTTTGGAGCCCATACCCCCTTGCCCCTCTAGAAGAATGGTTTCCACACTTCTCACTTAGATCATGCAGCCAACCCATCAGTGTTTTCCTTCTTCCCCCTCACAATTTACCTGTTTTCACATCTTCTACCCTACTTGATTTCATTATTATTATTATTATTTTTAAAAGAATAGCACACATTTCGTCTGATGAACCTAATTCCTTTACTTACTCTTCTGACCCCATTCCTTCTTCACTCCTCAGAGACCTGGCACCATCAGTTAATCCACTGATTAGGTCACACCTCTCAAAATCTAATCATTCACCTATGGAAATTCTTGCATTGTCTCACACATGAGCTTTTGGGGGACACCTCATATCTAAACTGTAACATTAGCAGCAGTCCAAATCAGAGATGGAAGTCTAATTCAGTGGTAGAACGCTTACCTAGTATACACAGGGCTCTGAGTTCTATTCCTAGCTTCACTAAAAACCAAAAACCAAACCAAAACAAAAAACCCTCAGGTTGATGGGAAGTAAACTGCAAAACATCTATAGAATAGAGAATACTATGGATTAACTAAATATTATCTTAGAAAAATGTTAACTGTAGAGTGTTAAATAATAAAAGCAGATTACAAAATTATTTGTACATTCATGTGTTCCCCTCAAAAGTGGGAAGAGAGAGAAAGAGGAAAAAAAATTTAAAACAATGTTGGATCAGGTACAGTGTCATGTGGCTGTAGTCTTAGCTACTCAGGAGGCTTAGGGAGAAGGTGAGAGAAAGGACAGTTTCAAGTCAACCTGAGTAACAAAGTGAGACCCCCATCTCTGAATGAATGCATACATAACCACATATAATGTTGGGTAGCAGGCAAATGTTATTTGGGTATACTTGATACACTTGGTGCTGGGGATTGAACCCAGGGGCTTGTGCATGTGAGGCAGGCACTCTACCAACTGAGCTATGTCCCCAGCCCTACCGGAAGGATTTTATGTTGTTTATTTCATTACCAGAGTCTACTTTATAGTCTTATAAAAAATAAAAACAAAAATTTTTGTTATCTTAATAGACTGTAGATTTATTGATAACAGATTATGTTTGCTTAGTTTTTTTGAAATTCTTGTAGTGGCTAACATATTGGCTGTATATAATAGGCATTTAGGAAGTACTAATCAAATAAAACTGAATTAAATTAAAGGGAAAAAGCCAAACCAAAGGCTGGACTTTAGGGAGTCAGTGAACATTCGCAGAATATTCCATATCTGTAAAGATGACTCTGGATGCTTGTGCTATGTGGCACTTACAGCCTTAAATGAAGAGCTTAAATTTAGTGTATTTATACCTGTCATCTGTTTTCATGCCCAAATCACTACCTACAGAATAAAGCTGCTTAAGAATAATTATTGTCATAGCAACTCTATTATTTTTAATTTGCTTATAAAGAAGCAGAGGCATAGGAATCTTTAAGACTTATTCATAGTCAATCAGGAAAGGATCATTGAAGTAAGATTGAAAGAATATACTGTCAGAAATATAGTGACATGTTGTCAAATATAGCGTCCATAGTATCAACCCCAAATTTATGATTATGCCCAAGTACCCTTAAGTTCTTTTAATAGCACTCCAAAATATTTGGCATTGATGAATTCGCACATTCAGCTGTTTATTGAGCACCAGTGATGTGTCAATTACACATTAATCTTTATGCAGTAATAAAGTAGTGCATGTGGAAAAAAGAGCCCACCTTCATGGAGCACAGTGAGGTAATAACAGAGCTCACCAGTCACCAGAGGTGGATCCTGGTTCCTCAGTTACTGACTTTGAGCAGCACAGCCTGGCTGTGCATCATTTCCTCCTATTTAAAAACAGCAGGTTTTATAGGACTTTAGTCCTTTAAAAAATTCTGAGTCAATAAATTGGCAGAAATCCTAATTCTCTGAAAGACAAAGCTGGAATCTCATATCTTTCAGTTAGTCTATTCAGTTATTTCATGTTTTGTGTAGTTGACTTGCTTTCCACCTACTCCTTTCTAATAGAGAAAAAAATGTTGAGGCATCATTCTGTTGTGGTTGTAATTGAGGTAGGTTTTGAAGTGCATGGTTATATCTAGACTTATGCTGAGTGTTTAGAAGTATTTCCAGATTTTATGGTTCTCTGGTGGTGTGAGTTAATCAGGAACTTGGTGTATTTTTTGTGGTACTGGTGATGGAATCCAGGACTTGGCACATCCAGTGTTCTACCACTGAGCTACATCCCCTGCCCAATTAGAAACTTTAAAACCCAGTGTATCTTATTTGTTCTTCTGATTATATAACTTAACCACCACACATAAACACTTGTGTTTATGAGGTTGTGTTTTCCTTTTTATGGTTTTCTGCATTTTCCTTAATGAACATTTATTGTTATTATTATTAATGTTGTTATTACTACTACTACTAGTGGAGATTGAACCCAGAGTTGCTCTACCACTGAACTAATATCCGCAACCTTTTTATTTTTTAAGTCAAGCTCTCACTAAGTTATCCAGACTGGCCTCAAACTTGCAATTCTGCCTCAGCCTCCTGAATTGCTGTGATTAGAGGCATGTGCCACCATGCCTGGCATGTATGATTTTTATAACCAGAAAAATTAAGGTAACTATGTAAGGAAGCAGAACAGCTCTCCCCACCTTTCTCCCACTCCCAGCAGTGCTGGAGATCAAACTTAGGATCTAAACATGTATTCTATACCACTGAGTTACCCCTGAACCCCACATATTCTAATTCTGAATCTGTCCCATAGTAGTTAGTGTCACCTTGACCAAGTTTCATAATTTCTTTGTGCTGTAGCTTCCTCATTAGTGAAAAAGGGATAATAAGTTTTGTGAGGGTTGAATGTTTCAGCATATGCACAGTGCTTAGTATGGTGCCCATACGTCCTGTCTGTTATTTCTCTCAGCAAGCAGTTGCCTCACTGACCCTGTGCTGCTGCTTTTCCCCGCCTAAACCTCTTTGCACTGTGCCACAATCAGCTTTCAGAAATGGGACAATGGATCACACCATTCCTTGCTAAAAGTCCTCTGTGGCTCCTGTGGTCTGATCACTGCTTACGTATCCAGCTCCTCTCCATTGTCCTTCTTCTCTCCCTCTGTTATAGGTGTATTAAATAATTGGAAGTTTTCTAGATGCTGTGATTTTGCATGTCTTGGTGTCTGTGCACATGCTAGTTCTTCTGCTTCAAGTGCCCATCTTCTATGGTTTTGCTATGAATCTTTAATGACCCTTCAAGACTGTGTTTCAACCTCCTGTGGAAACCTGGCCTTCTGTGTAGAGTTGAATGCCTTCTCAGCATTCATCATAGTGTGTGTGTGTGTGTGTGTATTATAACTGTTTGTCTCTGTGTCTGTCTGCTTGACACGACAGTGAGCTCCATGATAGTAGGGCTGCAGCCTCTTCTTTCTCCTCTGATGAGGGGCTTTGTGCAGTGATTGGTGTTGAGCAGATGCTTCTTGCACATTGTTTAATTAGTAGTCATGGGTCGAGTTTATTAACATTTTATACTTCTTCCTTCAATTTCTCCAGGCTGCAGGAATTAGTTGATAGAGTGCTGGAACGCTTTCAGGCTTCTGGACTAACAGTGAAAGAGTGGAATAGTGTGAAACTGCATGCTACAGTCATGAATACCCTGTTCAGGAAAGACCCCAACGGTAAGTCCTCACAGAGCTGGAGCACAGCCAGGCTTGGCAGTGCACTCTACTTCTTCCACCAGGAAGGCTGAGATAGGAGAATTGCAAGTTCAGGGCAATTTAGTGAGACCTTATCTCAAAATAAAAAATAAAAAGGGCTGGGAATGTAGCTCAGTGGTAAGTTATCTCTGAGTTCAATCCCCATTTCCACAAAAACAAACAAAAAGGAGCTGTAGCACAGTTGTGATCAGTAAGGCCTTTTGGTATTAGAGTTTTAAATAGAATGGCCATTCTGGAATCTCTGGTGTATCTTTACTTCTAGATCTATTAACTTGTTTTGATGAACCTAGTAGAAATGGGCAGTGACATATCTAGCTTATCTTCCATATCTTTTATTTCAGTCACATATGGGGTTGCTAGATTCAATGAATAAAAAAATGTAGGTTCAAACCTGGAGATGTAGCTTCGTGGTAGAGTACCTATTTAGTATGTGTGAGGTCCTGGAATGGATCTCTAGCACTGCAAAATAAATAAATAAATAAATAAATGTGTATATGTATATATGTATATGTGTGTATGTATGTAATGTATGTGTGTGTGTATATATGTGTGTGTGTGAGTGAGACCAATGGTTCTCACCTGGGTGTGATTTTACCTCCAGAGGATATTTGGATTGTCTGAAGATCTTTTTAGTTGTCACAGTTGGGCTGGGGGTAAGTATTTAGCATAGTTAGAGTCGTATAACCGTCACCACAATCAGTTTTAGAACATTCCATCACCCTATCAACAAGGCAATACCATTTACAGTCACTCCTTATTTCATCCTGTCCCCAATGCTAATTCTAGGCACAACTGGTCCACTCTCTTTCTCGATGGATTTGCCTGTTCTAGATATTTCCTGTAAATAGAATCATGCAGTATGTGACTGGTTTCTTTCACTTAGCATAATGTTTTCAATGTTTATCCATGTTTTAGTATGTCTTAGTACTTTATTCCTTTTAATTGCTGAATAATATTTTTTTGTATGAATGTATCACATTTTATCCGTTCACCAGTTGATGAACATTTGTATTGTTTATTCTTTTTGTCTATTACAAATAATCTACTGTGAATATTGTGTGCAGGTTTTTGTAGGGGCATCTGTTTTTACTTTTCTTGGGTATATATCTAGGAATGGAATTCCTGGGTCATATGATAACTCTATGCATAATATTTTAAGAAAGTGCCAGACTTTCCAAAGTGACTACACCATTTTACATTTCCATCAACAGTGTCTGACCATTTCAGTTTCTTCACATCTTTATCAGTACTTGCTATTATCTGTGTGTGTGTTTTCCAATTATAGCTATCCTTGTGGGGTATAACCTCATTTTGGTTTGGATTAGAATTTCCCTGATGGTTAATGCTACTTATAGATTTTGAACTTGTCATTAAATATTTCAATCATCAGATATGATTTCTGTTTTTTAATTGATAGTTATTTGGTATTAATTTACTTGTTCTTTTAAAACTGTATATGTTCTCTTTTTCTTTTTTTTTTTTTAAGAAAATTCACTTGTTTTTTTTTTTTTACTAGTATCTTTTTTTTTAATTTTTTATTTTTTTATTGGTTGTTCACAACATTACAAAGCTCTTGACATATCATATTAGATTGAAGTGGGTTATGAACTCCCAATTTTACCCCATGTTCTCTTTTTCTTAACAGGGAACTTTTTTTTTTTTTTAAACGGTGATGGGGTTTGAATCCAGGGCCTCACATGTGCTAGGCAAGTGCTCTACCACTGAGCTACATTTCTGTCTCCCAGGAAATTTATTTTTAATTGTAAAATATGTTTGGGATTGGGATTCTTAGTTAGGAGAATACTTCTCATTAGAGAAATAGTTACACCGTAACCTGTATGTCTAGATAAAATGCATTATATTTGTGGAGTTGTTAAAACTGTGGATAAATTTTTATCAGTTTTGACCTGGAATTGTCTACAACTGAATAAGCAAAAGAACCCACTCAAGGTGAAAATATGATAATTTTTGAAGATCTCTCAGTAGGTAGGAAAGATTTGATATTTCAGAAAATATTCTGAAAGTTAAATAATTCTTAAGAATGCTTTGAATTTTCTCTTGCCTGTACTCTTCTCTGTATTGAATTTTTATTTGAAAAGGACATGAAATGATGTGTTGCTTTTTCTGTTTGCCTTCCCTTTGATATTCCTCTTCTTTTTTAAGGACATCTTTTGGGATATCAGCCTACATTGACACAAGAATCTAGAGCATAGCTTTGTTTGGGCCAAGGTCATAGATTTTCTGTATTCTGTGTAGAATGTTTGTAAGGATACCTTTGATTGCAACTAAAGGACTCTTTTTCCTTCAAGGGGAGTGCTTAAATGAACCCAAAGCCTCATTGCCATCAGTTTTGACCAGAGTGTGAACTTTTGTGTAGTTTTATACACTTAAAATTACATGCAGCTTATCTTGGATTTGTAGATGGCAAGGAACCTTTGGAGAGACAGTTTCATCTCAACCTCTGACTCTGTAAGGAAGAACTGAGGTCTATGGAGGAGAAATAATTTCCTTAAGAATGTAGCTAGTTACAAAGTTATTAAGTATGTATTGTGAGTATTTGGAGAATGTTGAATGAATAAATGTGTACTGAATGAGTTGGTGACAGAGCTGGCTCTAGAAACCATCACTTGACTTATAACCTGTTGTTTTGCCCATCATATTATGCCACTTTCCAAGTAGTACATGAACATTTGCTAGTTGCATCTGTGTACCTATAGAAATCAAGAGAATATATAACCCAAGCTTCTCCTCTAACATTATCTTTGGAATATTTACAGCTGAAGGCAGGTACAATCTCTACACAGCGGATGGCAAATATATCTTTAAAGAAAGAGAGTCATTTGATGGCCGGAACATTTTAAAGGTCAGTATGAAGCAGAATGAATTGGAAATCCTTCAGCATGGTGTCCTACATAAGAGAGGAAAACAAGTTGTTCTCCTTTTAACAGTAAAGTATATATTTTTTTCATGCTTTTCATGAGGACCATTGATTAAAAAGGCTATTAATTTTTTTAATGTTCTAAAAAAGTGAAAATCCTCTTGACTCTGTTAATGCCTTGGTACTTCTAAGTGCTTGAAATTGGTGACTTAAGAAAAAATGAGGGAGGAGCCAGCACAGTGGCACACATCTGTAATCCCAGCTACTTGGGAGGCTGAAGCAGGAGAATCTCGAGTTTGATATCAGACTGGTCAGCTTAGTGGGACCGTGTCTCAAAATAAAATAAAAAAGAGCTGGGGCTGCTGCTTAATAGTAAAGTGCCCTGGGGTTCATTGCCCAGCACTTCAGGAAAAAGAAAAAAAGAATAGAAATAGAAAAAATGAGGGGCTGTGGGGCACAGCTCAGTGGAAGAGAGCTTGCCTAGCATTTCTGAGACCCGGGTTTCCATCTCCAGCACCGCAAAGTCGACAGCAGAAAGGAATGATGGGGTATTCTGACTAATTAGGTCCACAGGAATAAGTGTTTTACTCTGTACTTAACCTCTGCAGGTTCGAGATTGCATTTATTTTAAGTGAAAAAGAACTGTTTGTCTTCTTCTAGTAGACTTTCCCCTTCACCCACAAAGTCACTTTCCTAAGTTGTTGTATAGTCTGTTTTTACTCAGGAGCAGTCCATGTCCTAAAAAGTAGGTGGTCCATTTCTGACTGTTGAAGCTATGCTTTTCTGAGTGTTGCATTAACCTGTGAAATTTAAATAGAAAGGGTTCTTCAGGATTGCATTTATCTTTCTCCCACAGACTACATTCTGTAATATCCATGATTTATGCCCTTTCTGTCAGGTTAACAGACCATTGTTCTCCTGGGCAATGAGAAACCGTTGATTCCAAGGGAGAGCTTTTTGATTGTTCATTTCAGTTGTTCTGTAATGGTTTAGGTCAAACATTTTCAAGGCCATGGGTGTTTTTCAGAGACAGGAGAGAGAATAAGCTTCAGGTTTAGAAATGCTTTTTCTTTTATTTTTTCTACCCCAGGCTTCATTCCCTTATCTCATCATTTGACGGTTTTCTTTCCAAATGACTCATGTGACCCCATTGCCTCTAATTTGTGACATCACTGCCCAGCAGCTGTGAGCTTCTTTTCAAAGAGCCTAGTGGGCTATCCACAGCAGTACTCCAGCATCCACGCTGCAGAGCTGTGTCAGTTCCTTCTTTTCCTAGATATTTTCCTCTTTTTGTGCTGTTTTCCTAATTAGTTAACTTTTTCCCAGGCCATAGCTTCAGTGTGATATGAGTCTCTTTCTCTCTCTCCCTTCTTTGGGAAATTTCCAACAATATCATTAATTACTTTGATTTTGTTGTTGTTAATTTGATTAAGAAAGAAAATAGACTGAATAGGAAAGAAATCTTTAAGAGTAGCTCAAAGCCAGCTTGATTCTCAGGGGATTAAAATTAAAGCCCAAACAATGTGTCAATGCAAGTGAGGTCTGCAGAGCTTTGATATCCATAAGAGCCTGTGAATGGCTGTATCTACAGTATGGATCCCTCACTCCATATTGAGTTTCTCTCATTCTGGCAAATCAGTTGTCCATTTAAAGATGCTTTTTCTTGAAATCTCACAGACTACCCCAGTGATGACATGAATGTAGCTCCCTCTAGTGTTAGCAAGCACTGTTACACCAGTTATACCGGAAGTACCTTACTAATTTATGCCTAATCATTTTTTAGAGCTGGACCCAGTGAGATACTCGGAGACCATTTAGTCTAATTTCCCATTTTAATCTCTCATATGAGATATGCTAGGGTTAAAGTGATTTGCCAAAGGTCGTACTAGTAACAGTGACTGGAATCAATAAAAAGATGGAAAACCCACAAATAGAGCATGAGTTTTGCTGTCTCCTGTATGAATGCTTAGTGTTCAGGTAGATATTATTGATATTTGAAACTGGGCATATCTGTCTAAATTGAGATAATGTGTGGTTAAAACTTGTTTCTTAAATGTTGTGTGTCAGGTAGTTTAAAACTATGACTAATTCATTAGCCTTTGGGGGCTGGTGGTATAGCTCAGTGGTAGAGCAGGTATGTTGCATTGCAAGGCCTTGGGTTCAATACCCAGCCCTGCACTCCCCTCCAAAAAAGGGCAGACTTTTACATTGAATGTAATACCAGCACTTACATGATTGTATACCATCTTCTAGACCCTGTGCCTTGAAGATGAAATAGTCATTATTACATAATCCCTACCTTCTAGGAGTTTCCTGTCTTTGAGGAATATAGATAATTAACAGGCAGATACATATATAATGATGGTATCAAGTAGTATAAGAGAAGTACCTTGAACACAGGTAGTTAGGACAAAGTGTTTTTTAGTATAAATTCTAATATTTTACTCCTTAATCATTAGCTTCAGAAAAGATAATTTTACACCTAAAAGGGAATCAGATTTTCTTTGAGAATAATGATAAATTTTGGGCTGCATAGTTTATCTCCTACCAAATACACAAGGTAATAACTATATATTTGTAAAGTAGCTATAGTATACTGTCTTTTGGAATTAACCACAAATGGACATGTTTTCCTCAATGAGAACATGAAAACCCATGACCCCTGAAGCCCTTGAAATAAAAAAAAATAAGAATTTAGGAAACCAGTGAATTATGTGTGTATATATATAAAATTTAAATATATATGTACATATATATATGTGTGTATATATATATGTTTTTGTATCAGATTAAATTATTATGTTAAGAAAGAAAAAATCAATTTTCACTAATAAGATAGGAACTGACTTGGAATAAACAGAAAGGTTAACTGCATTGGTTGTTAAGGAACCAAGTATATGTGTGCAGCATATTAATAGCTACATAGGCCAAAGATCAGGGATGCTGATGCTAGGAGGTAGCCTTGGGAAAAAAAAGTCAACTTCATCAACTATTCAAAGAGAAACAAAACAAGAAAGAAAGTCATTGCTCATTGCTGTAAGAATTTAATGAGTAACAGCCAATTGCTATTCTACTCCATGAAGAAAATTGGTCCTTTGGCTCAATATAATATTGTATTCTGGGTACCTTAATAAGAAAAAAAAATCTAATGGCTTTAGGATGTGGAAGCCACATTTTTCTTTTGTACAGCTTTTTAAAGTTGTTGCAGCTGTAATAGACTAGCATCTGGTTATCCCCAGTTAAAATAAGATTTTTTTTTCCCTAAGACAGGCTTTGAATGAAGAATTAAAAATGAAAGGATGATTCTCCTGTGTTATTGAAAGCAGAAAAGGAAAAAAAAACATATTCAATTATTATTATTTTTTTTAATGGCGGACTGACAGTTCTAAAAGAAGATGTATTAGTGAAGACTAGCTAGGCCACATTAATAGGATGATGTCCCCTCAGAGACATTCTGTTTCTAGGAGATAGCAACAAAGATACTGTTTGGATAGCTGTAGTCAGTGATCACCATGAAATTGGAGCACTCATGCTGACCTAGAGACATACTGCAGGGGAATAACAGCTCCCTCCCTAGCTGGAAGTAGGAGGGTCATTAATTGCCAGCTTCAGGAGAGAGAAGTAATGGCAGTCTGCTTGGGGGTTATGAAATGGCTTAAAAGCACTAGAGTCAGTTTTCTAAGATTTTGCTCTCAGCCAGTTGAACAGGGATATAATATTAACTGCTCACAAGCAAAGCATCTGACTGCAGTGAAGAGGCGGCATTTGAGCCCTATAATGTACTCTTTAGAGAAGGTGATATGGCACAAATAAAGGCTAGGTCAGGTATTTGAAAAGGAATGGCAAGTACTGCAGGTCCAAAATCAAAGGACACAGTAAAAGTACCATTTCCTTAGGCACTTCAAAAAATTTGGAAAATATAAGCCAAGTACAAGGGAGAAGAATTTGTGCCTTTTCTACTTCAAAAATAAGTCTCTGATTTGGAAAGAGAATATTAAACTAACTATGTTAATTTTTGATCCTTTTGCCTGCAATTGTTTTAATTCTTTTACCACATGGAGACTTTTCTTGAAAGGTGTGAATGCAAGTCACTCAGGTATTTCATTTATTTTTGTTTTGGTCCCATCTCTATTCCTTAGAGTCCTTAAGAGAACAGTCAGAATGAATAATTTTTCTTTTTTATTAACATATATTAATTGTACAGATTCATGTGTTTCACTGTGACATTTCCATACAAGCATCTAATGTACATTCCTCATGTTCATTATATCTACCCTTCCTTCTACCCTCTCTCACTGTCCCCTCTTTTGTGCTTTCCCACAGCCCCACTTCCTGCTTCTAAAAGTCCCTCTTCTACTTCCAGGTCATCTTTATTTTATTTTTTATTTTCCACATATGAAAGAAAACATGGGTAATTGTTTTTTTGTCTGACTTGTTTCACTTCACATGATTCCTCTAGTCTCATCCATCTTTCTTACATATAACAGGATTTCATTATTCTTTATGACTGAGTGATACTCCAGTGTGTGTGTGTGTGTGTGTGTATTTCATATTTTCTTTATCCATTTACCTGTTGATAGGCACCTTGGCTGATTCTATATCTTGGCTGTTGTGTATACTGCAATAAACCTGGAAATGCAGATATATCTTTTGTATGCTGACTTCATTTCCTTCACATATAATCCCAGGAGAGATATATAGTTAGATCATATGGTAGTTCTATTTTTAATTTTTTGAGAAACTTCCATCCTTTTTTCCACAATGACTGTACTAATTTACATTCCCACCAACAGTGTATATGGGTTCCTTTTTCTTTTTTTATTATTTTTTTAAATTTTGGTACCAGGGGTGCTTAACCACTGAGCCATATCCCCAGCCCTTTTTTATATTTTATTTAGAGATAGGGTCTCACCAAGTTGCTTAGGGCCTCACTAAGTTGCTGAGGCTGGCTTTGAACTCACAGTCCTCCTGTCTCAGCTTCCTCA